AGTGGAGCAACGTCAAGAGATGCAGTCTCATGGTAGTCAGTTACCAACAATTGTTGCCTCAGGATACTGGAGCCCATTTGTACCATTGGTTTGGAATCACGACTTTCCAACTCCCCTGGGTGAACTCTCCGTGTTCACCAACTCGGTTAAAGCGCCGAACATTCGCTTTTACTTCTCTTAATTTCGTGAACAACACCTTCGCCACGAGAAGACAGTGAGTAGGACTTCTCTGGCAGTAGTTGTATGCATGTGTGATCGTGGACGCGCACGACTCAAGAGTCCTATACTGGAACGAAATGCCAGTTCATTACTTCCAAGTCCCCAATGATGATCTAACTTTGATCAACTCATACATCCAACTATTAGAAAATTATTACGATATCCATAAAACGTCCATTCTGATAATAATCATCATATACCGCCTAGTGAATGGTTTCATGAGGTATTTCTTGGAGTTCTTGTGAGAGGCTGTGGCCAGTAGAGTTTAACCGTATCTTTTGTAGAGGCAGTTACTTATTGAAGATAATTGTGGATGGTTGCGCAATATCTTGGATTGATTAAGTTTAGACATTAACACCGTTGGGCTTCAGGCTCAGTGGTCTAGAAGATAGGTCAGAGGTCCTGGGTTTGAATCCCGTATGTGGTATTTTTTATATATTTAAACACAAACATTGGTATAAGGATGCACAGAGTTAGCATGCGCCACACTTTGCCATTCTATTTGTGTGAGGACTGGGATACTGCCCGGGTTCCCAAACCGAAGCAGGTGGTTTTCATAGAGGGTTACACCCGGAGCCTTTGACCCAAAGATCTGATCCACAAGACAGTGGAGCAGTTCTATGGTAGCCAGTGACTAGCAATATGCTCATACGCCATTCTTTCCCTCAGGACCCTGGATTTATTGTGCACCATTGGTTTTGAATGACGATTTTCCAACTCCCCTAGGTGGATTTTCCATGTCCACCAACCCGGTTAAAACGTCAAACATTCGGTTTTACTTCTCTAAATTTCGTGAACAACATTCTCGCCACGAGAAGACAGTGAGTAGGACTTCTCTAGCAGTGGTTGTATGCACGTGGTCTCATGCGGGATCGTGGATACGCACAACTGAAGAGCCCTATACTAGAACGAAATGCAGTTCATTACTTCCAAGTCCCCAATGATGATCTAACTTTGATCAACTCATTCATTCAACTATTAGAAAATGATTACGATATCCATAAAACGTCCATTCTGATAATAATCATCATATACCGCCTAGTGAATGGTTTCATGAGGTATTTCTTGGAGTTCTTGTGAGAGGCTGTGGCCAGTAGAGTTTAACCGTATCTTTTGTAAAGGCAGTTACTTATTGAAGATAATTGTAGATGGTTGCGTAATATCTTGGATTGATTAAATTTAGACATTAACACCGTTGGGCTTCAGGCTCAGTGGTCTAGAAGATAGGTCAGAGGTCCTGGGTTTGAATCCCGTATGTGGTATTTTTTATATATTTAAACACAAACATTGGTATAAGGATGCACAGAGTTAGCATGCGCCACACTTTGCCATTCTATTTGTGTGAGGACTGGGATACTGTCCGGGTGCCCAAACCGAAGCAGGTGGTTTTCATAGAGGGTTACACCCGGAGCCTTTGATCCAAAGATCTGATCCACAAGACAGTGGAGCAGTTCTATGGTAGCCAGTGACTAGCAATATGCTCATACGCCATTCTTTCCCTCAGGACCCTGGATTTATTGTGCACCATTGGTTTTGAATGACGATTTTCCAACTCCCCTAGGTGGATTTTCCATGTCCATCAACCCGGTTAAAACGTCAAACATTCGGTTTTACTTCTCTAAATTTCGTGAACAACATCCTCGCCACGAGAAGACAGTGAGTAGGACTTCTCTAGCAGTGGTTGTATGCACGTGGTCTCATGCGGGATCGTGGATACGCACAACTGAAGAGCCCTATACTAGAACGAAATGCCAGTTCATTACTTCCAAGTCCCCAATGATGATCTAACTTTGATCGACTCATACATCCAACTATTAGAAAATTATTACGATATCCATAAAACGTCCATTCTGATAATAATCATCATATACCGCCTAGTGAATGGTTTCATGAGGTATTTCTTGGAGTTCTAGTGAGAGGCTGTGGCCAGTAGAGTTTAACCGTATCTTTTGTAAAGGCAGTTACTTATTGAAGATAATTGTGGATGGTTGCGCAATATCTTGGATTGATTAAATTTAGACATTAACACCGTTGGGCTTCAGGCTCAGTGGTCTAGAAGATAGGTCAGAGGTCCTGGGTTTGAATCCCGTATGTGGTATTTTTTTATATATTTAAACACAAACATTGGTATAAGGATGCACAGAGTTAGCATGCGCCACACTTTGCCATTCTATTTGTGTGAGGACTGGGATACTGTCCGGGTGCCCAAACCGAAGCAGGTGGTTTTCATAGAGGGTTACACCCGGAGCCTTTGATCCAAAGATCTGATCCACAAGACAGTGGAGCAGTTCTATGGTAGCCAGTGACTAGCAATATGCTCATACGCCATTCTTTCCCTCAGGACCCTGGATTTATTGTGCACCATTGGTTTTGAATGACGATTTTCCAACTCCCCTAGGTGGATTTTCCATGTCCATCAACCCGGTTAAAACGTCAAACATTCGGTTTTACTTCTCTAAATTTCGTGAACAACATCCTCGCCACGAGAAGACAGTGAGTAGGACTTCTCTAGCAGTGGTTGTATGCACGTGGTCTCATGTGGGATCGTGGATACGCACAACTGAAGAGCCCTATACTAGAACGAAATGCCAGTTCATTACTTCCAAGTCCCCAATGATGATCTAACTTTGATCGACTCATACATCCAACTATTAGAAAATTATTACGATATCCATAAAACGTCCATTCTGATAACAATCATCATATACCGCCTAGTGAATGGTTTCATGAGGTATTTCTTGGAGTTCTAGTGAGAGGCTGTGGCCAGTAGAGTTTAACCGTATCTTTTGTAAAGGCAGTTACTTATTGAAGATAATTGTGGATGGTTGCGCAATATCTTGGATTGATTAAATTTAGACATTAACACCGTTGGGCTTCAGGCTCAGTGGTCTAGAAGATAGGTCAGAGGTCCTGGGTTTGAATCCCGTATGTGGTATTTTTTATATATTTAAACACAAACATTGGTATAAGGATGCACAGAGTTAGCATGCGCCACACTTTGCCATTCTATTTGTGTGAGGACTGGGATACTGTCCGGGTGCCCAAACCGAAGCAGGTGGTTTTCATAGAGGGTTACACCCGGAGCCTTTGATCCAAAGATCTGATCCACAAGACAGTGGAGCAGTTCTATGGTAGCCAGTGACTAGCAATATGCTCATACGCCATTCTTTCCCTCAGGACCCTGGATTTATTGTGCACCATTGGTTTTGAATGACGATTTTCCAACTCCCCTAGGTGGATTTTCCATGTCCATCAACCCGGTTAAAACGTCAAACATTCGGTTTTACTTCTCTAAATTTCGTGAACAACATCCTCGCCACGAGAAGACAGTGAGTAGGACTTCTCTAGCAGTGGTTGTATGCACGTGGTCTCATGCGGGATCGTGGATACGCACAACTGAAGAGCCCTATACTAGAACGAAATGCCAGTTCATTACTTCCAAGTCCCCAATGATGATCTAACTTTGATCGACTCATACATCCAACTATTAGAAAATTATTACGATATCCATAAAACGTCCATTCTGATAACAATCATCATATACCGCCTAGTGAATGGTTTCATGAGGTATTTCTTGGAGTTCTAGTGAGAGGCTGTGGCCAGTAGAGTTTAACCGTATCTTTTGTAAAGGCAGTTACTTATTGAAGATAATTGTGGATGGTTGCGCAATATCTTGGATTGATTAAATTTAGACATTAACACCGTTGGGCTTCAGGCTCAGTGGTCTAGAAGATAGGTCAGAGGTCCTGGGTTTGAATCCCGTATGTGGTATTTTTTATATATTTAAACACAAACATTGGTATAAGGATGCACAGAGTTAGCATGCGCCACACTTTGCCATTCTATTTGTGTGAGGACTGGGATACTGTCCGGGTGCCCAAACCGAAGCAGGTGGTTTTCATAGAGGGTTACACCCGGAGCCTTTGATCCAAAGATCTGATCCACAAGACAGTGGAGCAGTTCTATGGTAGCCAGTGACTAGCAATATGCTCATACGCCATTCTTTCCCTCAGGACCCTGGATTTATTGTGCACCATTGGTTTTGAATGACGATTTTCCAACTCCCCTAGGTGGATTTTCCATGTCCATCAACCCGGTTAAAACGTCAAACATTCGGTTTTACTTCTCTAAATTTCGTGAACAACATCCTCGCCACGAGAAGACAGTGAGTAGGACTTCTCTAGCAGTGGTTGTATGCACGTGGTCTCATGCGGGATCGTGGATACGCACAACTGAAGAGCCCTATACTAGAACGAAATGCCAGTTCATTACTTCCAAGTCCCCAATGATGATCTAACTTTGATCGACTCATACATCCAACTATTAGAAAATTATTACGATATCCATAAAACGTCCATTCTGATAATAATCATCATACACCGCCTAGTGAATGGTTTCATGAGGTATTTCTTGGAGTTCTAGTGAGAGGCTGTGGCCAGTAGAGTTTAACCGTATCTTTTGTAAAGGCAGTTACTTATTGAAGATAATTGTAGATGGTCGCGTAATATCTTAAATCGATTGAAGTTAGACATTAGCATTGTTGAATAGGTTCGGGTTGCATGTACGAAATCGTGAATGCGCACTATTGAAGAGTCTCATACTGAGACGAAACATCCATTTAATGCTTTCATATTCTTAATGATGATCTCACTTTGATTGACTCATACATTCAACTATTAGAAGCCTACTACAATCTCCACCTCCACACACACACCCATCCCCATATTTAATAATTGTATGTAATACTGTTTGTTCTTCTTTAGAAAAAAAAAACGGAACTTTTATTTTGTATAAGCAATTGCATTAAATAAATTTTGTACTATATAATCTAAAATGAATTCATTTTGATTGTTATGTAATAGGATAGATTTGAAAAATATTTTAATACTTAATTGTTTTAACCAATGTTTATTGAAATGAATTAATTGGTCATAAAAATGATTTATTAAATCATAACGTAAATGAGTAGAGAAGATTGTTGGTGTTGGTGTCGGTGTCGGTGTTGTTGTTGTTCTTGATTGATTGACTGTAGTTTGTATATGATCTAGACAATAAAGAAATGTATACATGATTAGAATTTGAAGAAATGAATAATAAAAGAATGTCCAGCGCTTTTTTATTCGGGTTGGCGGACACAGAGGGACTATCTAGGGTGGGGTGGGGCGGTTGGAATCCCATGATTCAAAATCAATCATGTACATGGTCTCCAGTATTCCGAAGGAACAAATGGATTTGATTTGAACACATAAATGCTGATAGAAGGGGGCACCAGATACATATGCGCCACGCAAATTTCATTTGACTTGTGTGAGGGCTGTGATACTGCTCGGGTGCCCAGACCGAAGCAAATGGTTTTCTCATGAGGCCATACCCGGAGCATTAGATATAAAGATATGATTCACAATTCAGTGGAACAATGTGGGGAGATGCAGCCTCAAGGTAGCCGGTGACCAACAATTGGTTTAAACGCCATTTGTTCCTTTAGGATTCTGGAGCCCATGTGCACCATTGTTTTCGAATCAGGGTTTTCCCACTCCCTTAGATAGATCCTCCTCTATAACCTACCCAGCTAAAGCGCTGGACATTCGCTTTTCGTCCTCTTAATTTTATACACGACACTTCAGCCGAGAGAAAGCAGTGAGTAGGACTTCCCTAGCAGAGGCTATATACGCGTGGTCATGTGAGAGCATTTGGAGAGGGAGAGCTGACTCTCCCCACTCTCGACCGTACCAGGGCATTCGGGGGCAGGAACAAATGGAGTATGAACCATTTGTTGATCACTGACTACCAAGGGACTGAATCTCCTTATGTTGCTACACTGCCCTGTGGATCAGACCTTCAGGTCGAAGGCTCTGTGTGTGGCTCCATAAGAGAACCACCTGCTTCAGTTTGGGCACCCGAGCAGTATCCCATCCCTCACATAAATCAAATGATTTATATGGAGCATATCTATTTGGTGCCTCCTTGTACCAATGTTTATGTGTTTAAATGAATAAATAATAAATCATTTTCTATATTTGGTCGTAAATCATGTATTTGTTATAATGTGATTCAGTCTTTGTATAGCCTATCGATTGAGTATATAATCTAATGGTTCTATACTCTCGATTACCGTTTTTAATATTACATGTTAATAGTATAACATAGCAAATGGAAAGTATTTCCATTGTACCGTTATATCACTATAGTTACTAAGCTTGCTTACGTTCTCTGTTCTCACTCTCTTCCTGTCAACTCTTTTTGTTTATTGATTTATACTACTTATTAATATTTCAGTAAATATTTGTATTTTCATCAATTTCTATGTATATGTTGTAGTGCAAGTTTATTGTGTAATATTCTAAACTATTTACATATACTTATAACATTTATTATATTTATCATTATAATAACTCTATCTCTTCAGCAGCTACTCTCAGTTTATCGATATCAAGGCAATATGCATAATATGCGCATGTGCCATTAAGAGAATGATCAATTGCATTCCTAAACATTCATGGGAGAATTTAAACTTCACCCCAATTACTCAAGCAATTACCTATCGGGACTCAGTAAATAAGTGTATAACGTGATGGCGTTTGAAGCAAATAGTGGTCCGGGGTGGGCATCAACTTAGGTTCAGGTACATTCAACTGAGGCACCCTAAATAAGACCAAACGTGTGTCAAACTGGATTCCACTGCTAGCCACTATCCATCTTTGCTTATAATGCTCGTGAATTAAAGAAATATCGAGGAAATCATTAAAGGGTGCACATATGCTTATGAGAGACTGATCAATTTCAGTCTTAAATATTAATGGGAAGATTCAAACAAAGAATACCAGATTAATTCGTTTAATCTTTGTTTAAACGCAATGGTTTCCATATTTGTTTGATCTTGGTTGCGTTTTTGCTTGTTGATAAACTGATATCAAGATTAGACACAGCTATTAGCTGTTGTTTACACTATCGTGTATCATAATCATTCCTTACGTTATTAATACAGGAAGCCCTTTTTTCTTTCAGACTTATAGACGCGCTATGTGCCACAGATCCCCCACAAGTTAAGGTTTATAATTAATTTATGTATAAAGCTCAATAAAGAATCACTTCCCAAACAAACTCCTGTTTCGTGAACTTCAATTTCACGTGTACCTCAATTGTGTTATTGGACGATTTGATAGATTCAACAATAGTAGTGAACGAAGTTTGCAGGGTTTATGGAAATGACCTTTGATTCTGAATTTATAATAGTTCCCTTCGTATTCTGTAATAATTCGTTGATTGATGAATGATTTATAAGATCGATTCTTTTAAAGAGAAGCTTTATGTTAATTAATCAATCATTATGGTACTTGGTTACCTGTTAACAATTTATATTAGTTCATTGAATCAGTTTACAAATTTATTTAAAAACTAGATCATGTTTAGATAAAGTATAGAAGTTTCTCTTTTAGTAACTTTGACTAGAAGAGTACATAATGAAAATGAATATTTAACTAATCAAACTAGAGGTTAAGCGTTTATGTGCGAGACTGATAGCCTTATGGGTTCGAATCTCGCGAGCAGGACCGTCAATGAGCACTACTGACGAGTTCAACACTAGGATGAAACGACCATCCAGTACTTCCAGGTTTTCCATAATGGTTAAGCTTTAATTGACTCATGAATTCAACTATTAAATTAGTCTACTCTGTACAAAACCCCTTTCCTGGTAATAAAACTTTACTCACCTAAATTATTCTCAGTAAATATTTTAAACTTTACACATTCACTTTCTTCTTTATTTAAATTAAAGTCAATTAAATATTGAATGAATGAAATACCCATATCCAATGAATCATGAATATTGAGCATATTACTCAGAATAGGATTTATGAATACATCATTACTTTTATTCAAATGATTTAGTTTTGGATTTTCATTACGAGTAGGACATTCAATTGTATGTTTATCATCAAAATTATGATTGATATATTCGATTACATGAATATAGAATAAGAATATCCAATTCGTATTAGTTAAGTCAATCTAGAATGAAAAAACAAAACAATTAATTTGTGAATTATTTTTTGACTACTTATAAGTAGGTTAAATGAATAAGTAAAAGAAAGAGACAATGTTATAAATTTAAGAAATTAGAATTTAATTCTGAAATTATTTTGGTACGATCTAACGGTATATAACCACTTTGTAATTCTCAATTTCATCTCAAGTCGCCTATAAACATTCTTGATTCTAGAGTTCTTAGGGTTTTTTTTACTGGTAACAGTAATGCCGTAGCTTGAGTAGGTATTATCATGACGTGGAAGTATAATCATGATATGGCAGCTGAAATATGCTTGGAATCATAAAGACCATATGGATATCTTGAGAAGAAGGATTTCGAACTTATTCTTGTTAACTCCAAATTTAATATTCTCCAAGGGCAAATATATTTGTAACATGTCAGCGATTGAATTTCAAGTAAATCCAGTGTTTTGCTCGACAATCTGGTCTAAACTTAGATTTTACGAATATATATTTCTCGTCCTTGATGTCTTACATTAATATAGTGCCTAAGTACTATGAGGCTATTAATGTTCTCTAGTTAATCTGTTCTCGACGTTAAGTATAAGTACTCATATCTTATCATTTTGGTATACATTTATCAGTTCATCTAGTCCTATGCAGTTAGGTATATTGGTCATTCGAAATACATTTAATCCCAGAGATTTCACGAGTATCAATCTACATGGTTGAAGAAGCAACACAAATAACCACAGTCAAAATATACACCAACAATCGAACACTGAAATTCCATATCTAGAGACCAATTGGTTACATAGATACTTCATAGATTAAATCTAATAGCTAATTTCTCGATAAAGCTTAACCATTATCCTATATAATCAATGATATCTATATGCCTACACAGTTGAAACATACCTGTCCAAAGTTCTCATCATAAATGCATTTTAAAGAAAGTATCAAATGAATACAAATCTTGAGATGGAGGAGAAGATTTTGATGGACTTTCGTCCTCTGAGTTGAATGGTTTGGTCATGGAGCTTTCATTGTCCTTCTGGTTTGATTTTTCTTCCTTTGTTTGAGCATAGTTATACACCAATCAAAGATGCGCACTGCTGAGGAGTCCCATACTAGGACGAAACGGCCGTCCAGTGCTTCCAAGTTTACCATGGTGGTCTAGCTTCAATTGATTCATGATTTGAACTATTGAGATTTACCGTCAACAAGAACCAATCAACATCGAGGTCTACAGGATAAGCTATGAACTACATGTGGAGAAATTTGAACACTTCACTTCTATCTGACATTTGTGCTGATTGATGATGTTATTCAGAAGAACGATGAAAGTTTCACAACCAAACCATTCATTATATTCATAATGAAATTTACCTTTCAATTCAACGAATACAATAGTTCATTCCATCTAATTCTTTCAATACTCATTTAAGCTTACCTTGTTTCTATTATCTTCTATATTTATATTATCAATTAAGAAATGATTCAATATCCATTTAATCATATTCATTATAATCTGTATACCAATTTCTGTTTTATTCCATTCATTTAATTTTATAAAATTTATCCAATTTATTTGAGTAGTATGTTTTATTGTTTTATTCTTTAAATATGAATTTATATTTAAATCTGAATGAATATTGTCTTGATTAACAGACATTAAGGGATTGTTTATTTTCGATAAAAGAACTGTGTTGAAAGAGAAAAGAAAAGAGAAAGGTGGAGAGAGAGAGAGTTAGAGAGAGACAGAGACAGAGGTGATCAACCGTCAATTGTAAATGTCATTGTATTATTACGCTATGATTAACTGTCTTTTAATAATATAAGGTAATTAATACCATAATATCTGATGTTTATACTAATTAGTTACTTGCCCCCGAATGCCCTGATACGGCCGAGAGTGGAGAGAGTCCGCTCTCCCTCTCGAAATCCTCTCACATGGCCATGCGTATATAGCCTCTGCCAGGGAAGTCCTACTCACTGCCTTCTCGCACTATGGGTGTTGTTTACAAAAATGAGAGGACGAAAAGCGAATGTCCGGCGCTTTAACCGGACCCCAAATCAATGGTGCACATGGGCTCCAGTATCCTGAAGGAACAAATGGCGTATGAACGAATCGTTGGTCACCGGCTACCATGGGACTGCATCTCCTTACGATGCTCCACTGCCTTGTGGATCAGATCTTCAGGTCAAAGGCTCGGGGTGTGGTCCCCTAAGAAAACCACCTGCTTCGGTTTGGGCACCCGGGCAGTATCACAGCCCTCACACAAATCAATTGAGATTTGTATGGCGCATATGTATTTGGTGCCTCCCTGTACCTATACTTATGTGTTAAAATAATAATAAAATAAATTAGTTACTTAGTGAGTGACCATTATCATGTTTGTTTAATTCTTTTAACATTGATTAGTGTTTATCGATCAGATGGTAATGTGACTTTTAGTCTAAGTGATTTAAAACTGTTCTAAAGTTTCGTGATTGGATGTGAAGTATAGGAAACCGTAGATTGAGCTTTACTGTTAGTTAGGTTCGAATCCTTTGAGAAGGGTTATTTGCCTCAAGATTACAGATCTCCTTGTGTATGAGTGCTAACTGTTATAAAAACTGGATACAGGGTTTTTCCTTGAGTGCTTACAATTACTATTTATGTTCTAATATTATGAACATTTACAAGTTAGTGATACCTTGGATGGTGGCTAACAATGAAATTCAGTAATTAATACAGTATTAATATTTTAACAGTTGAAGTTATGAATCAATCTAAGTTAGGCTACCGTTGAAAAACTTGAAAGTATTGAACGTCTGTTTTATTCTAGTATGGAACTCTTTAACAGTGTCCAATCATATGATCCCATACATGAAACTCAAACCCAAACATCCAATCTCGCATTCAAACATTTAACCATTAAACTATTAAGCAAACATCTAATAGTTAAACAATCACATATGAGATTAAACATCTTGAATCCCCCTCCCACGTACGTAATCATAAATGAACTCTACTGATGAATCCTTTAATTATAACGAAACCAATCATTTAATACTTCCAAGTTTTCCAAGATAGTCTGTATAATTCCCTCCCCCCATCACTACTACTACTACTACTACCTTTATCACCAATACCACCACCACCACCACCACCACCAATATCATTTCTAATAATTCTCTTATATTATTCTATTAAAAACATACCTTCTTGAATATTATTATATAAATTTAAATAATAATCTGTTATCAATGGACTCTTTTCATTGTTAACTATACCAAAATATTGATTGATTATCAATAACCAATTATTTAATAAATAATCAATATTATTTGGATATTTATATGGTTGATCAATATTAATTGTATATTGATTAATTTTGAATTGATTATTGAAATAATATTGATTTATTTTATTATTATTATTATTTATTATTATTGAAAAATGATTTAATAATTTAATAAATAATTTTAAATTATATTTTTCAGATAAAAAATTTGATGCCATATTGAATGAATTTAATTTTATTGATTTATTGATTGGATATTGATTTTTTATTTGATCATTGAAATCAATATTATGATGATGATTATGATTATTATTAGTTGTGATTAAATGTTTATGATTCATCGAAAGATTTAATGGATAATCATCATTTATAGATTCTATTGTTGATAGAAAATTTTTATTGTTGCTATGGTTATTGTTGTTGCTCTGGTTGGGGTTGGGGTTTCTGTTGTTGTTGTTGTTGTTAGGTTTTCTTGGTCCACGTTCATGTTGAACACCTAAAAAATATGTATATATATAAGATAACAATAACATCCATTATATTCTATTGTTAAACATATATAATTGAAACAGATCAATAAGATTGATCTAAACTCGGCTTTTGTGGTATTGTATAAAAGTGTCAAATGGTGTATACTAAGGTTTATTGAAGCCGTAGTGTTATATCCGAGCGAAGATTAAATCACGAGTAATTTCTGAGACATTAATTGACTAATATTATCTACATATTCTTACGGTATAACTATTCATTAGTTAGGTTATGTATATTTATATTCCCCTTATCATAAGCTTCACTTTGACCTATAATTTATCACTGCACGATTTACTGTCCCTAAATTATGCTCAGTTTATTAGTCACTGTCTCCCACATTCACAGCCACTTTTTGGCTTATTTGTGTACATATGTTATTTTCTATTTTATGGTACGTTGTGGTCTGCCTGATTGATATATAAACCGAGTATGTCTGAAATAAATGATTTGGTTCGATTTTGATTGATTCGGAAGCTGCTTTTGTGTTCTGAACTCAAGAGGACGGGTTAGAAGGACGTAGGACCCAATAGGACGCTAGACTGCTCAGACCGATTGAACGTCATTGGTCTTGTCATAGTGCGAATATTCGTATAAGCCGTATTCTGATTGGTGTATAAGTCACGGGATCGTAAGCCGGACATCAAATCATAACACGTAGTCATACAAAAATTGAAATCCTTTTTGTGTATTCAAAAACAGTTTGTTCTCACTCATAAACCTGTCATGGTAATATTGACTTATTATCCAGAGTGATTAGATTACAAACTATGTTCACTCTTATTATTATTATCCTTGTCTCTTCTTATCCTCATTTCCAGTCTAGTTAGTTAACCTTTTTATTTTTAACAGAAGGAGGGTTTGTGGAGATTTTAATAATTTCAATTGTTGAGATTATGAATCAATTGAAGCTAGATCACCATTGTAAACCTAAAAGCACTGGACGGCCGTTTCGTCCTATTGTGGAACTCCTCAGCAGTGCGCAACCAAGTAGATTATGAGTGATCAGATTGTTCGAAATGTATTACGTTAATATATATCATCACATAGTTTTGATAATCATCGTCTTCTTATTACATTATCGAATTTTATTAAAGGAACTAATTGCTTTAAATGGTATTATGCTTATTTTCCTTAAGATTAGATATTTTTAGAAAGTTTACAGTTTGAAAGTAGTTTACATCCTAAATATCTTAGTTATGAATTCAAGAGGTTCTGTGTTTAATCTTTGGTAGGCTTAATAGGTTCCAAATATTCAATACACTCTAATTGAATAAACTAACTCTTCTATGTTTTGTTTTTAGTCTTTAATGATTGTCTAAGGAGATTATTGAATTTCATTAAAATTACTAACTAATCACAGTTAGATAACTATTGAAAACTTGATATTAACACCGTTGGATACTGGCTAAGTGGTTTAGAGGGTAAGTGTTCGCTCACAACACTGATAGATCCTAGTTTCGAATATCACGGAGAGGAATCGTGGATGTGCATTGTTGAGGAGTCTTATACTAGAATAAAGCGGCCATCTAGTGCTACTAGGTTTACTATGATGATCTAGCTTCAATTGATTCATAAATTCAATTATTAGAAAATTACTACAATCTTCACAAAACCCATCTCATTATAATACAAATGTGTTAAATAAACTTAATTTTATTGATTAAGATCATGAGTCAATTGAAGCTAGACCACCATGGAAAACCTGGGAGCGCTGGACGGCCGTTTCGTCCTGTTGTGGGGCTCATCGACAGTGCGCATCCACGACCTCGCCCCCTGCGAGATTCGAACCCAGGACCTACTGGCTTCGCGCGTGAGCACTTAACTACTAGACCACTGAGCCGCCATCCAACGGTGTTCATGTCTAACTTCAACTAATCCACGAAATTGAGCGACACATCCACCATTGTCTTCAGTGAGTTTCTATCTCACAACAGACCTGGTTGAACTCCACTGGTCACTACTTCTCACTAGAACTCCAGGATATACCTCTTGAAGCCAGTCACTAGTGAGCATATGTTGATTATTATCAGAAGGGGTTTTGTGGAGATTGTAGTAATTTCATTGATTAAGATCATGAGTCAGTTGAAGCTAGACGAAACGGCCATCCAGTGCTTCCAGGTTTTCCATGGTGGTCTGACTTCAATTGACTCATGGTTTTAATCATTGAAATTACTACAATCTCCACAAAACCCCTTCTGATAATAAACATAATTTTATAAGATTTAATTGAACATTTGACTAACAAATACATTCATTTAGCTCTACTGGATAACTTGTGTTCAATGAAAACTCCTTATATGTGATTCCTCTTAATATTTCATTTGTCTAGTTACCTTTCTATCTATTCATTTGTTAATTCTATTCTATTACTGTATTGATGTATAAATACTTGAAGTATACTGGTTAATTAATTATATGGAACTCAAAACAACTTTCAACCAATATCAAAGTCAGAATCTTCAATACGAACGTCAAGGCAGTTCTACTGTACGGAGCTGAAACTTGGAGAACTACAACAACCACCATCAAGAAGGTACAGGTATTTATTAATAGCTGTCTACGCATGATACTCAACATCCATTGGCCGGATACCATCAGCAACAGCCTTTTGTGGGAGAGAACCAACCAGCTTCCAGCTGAAGAGGAAATTAGGAAAAGACGATGGAAATGGATAGGACATACATTGAGGAAATCATCAAACTGCATTACGAGACAAGCGCTAACTTGGAATCCTGAAGGGATGCGGAAAAGAGGAAGGCCAAAGAACACATTACGTCGGGAAATAGAAGCAGATATGAAAAAGATGAATAAGAACTGGAAAGAGCTTGAAAAGATTGCCCAGGACAGGGTTGGATGGAGAATGCTGGTGAGCGGCCTATGCTCCTTCACGAGGAGTAACAGGCGTAAGTAAGTAAGTAAGTAATACTGGTTAATTGAGACTCTCAATAGTTTATATTTATTTCAATACAATACAGATTAGATCAGTCTAATGCAGTTTAGCATTTGTTTCACTACAATACAATTGTTCTTTATTCGATTATCAGTGTTATTTCTATTCTAATATAATTACTGGTGATTTTTAAGTGCCAAGTATCAATATAAATCCAATTCAATTATAAAGAGGTCTAAATGTTCTGTTAATCTAATACTCCTATAATTTCAGACCAGTTGTGTTCATTCATTTCAATCAAAACTTAATTATAATCAAAGATAGATGGTGTCTAGTCATAGAATCCAGGCCGCATGCTTCATCCTATTTTGGACTAGTCAGTTCAATGTACCTGCGTCTTGAATTTAATGTTTGCTCTGGGACTCGAATCCTGTACCGTTTGCTTCAAAGGCCATCGCGTTATCCACTTAGTTTGTGCATTAAAACAATATCGAGACAATCCATACAATATGCACATATGCCAATAAGAAATTGATCAATCGAAGTTTTAAACATCAATGGGAAGATTCAAATAAACAATAGTAAATGAATTCAAAGCTCCATTGTTTATTACTACTGAATAATACTAGTGAATATATACTATAGAAAATTGGTATTCAATTTCTTACGTAATTCATTTATCCTTAGTAATAGAATATTAATTTAACAAATATAAAAGTTTAGGGGTTGTGCAGATTGTCAAGTTTGTGATTGAGATCATGAACCGATTGATGTTAGATCACCATTGAAAATCTCGAAGCACTGGACGACCGTTTCGTCCTATTGTGGAGCTAATCCGTCTCGGGTATAAACAGATGTCTACCTCAGTAAAATGGAAGATGGTCGAGAAACTTCGTGGATGGGTTGAGGTTAGACATTAACACTGTTGGATGCCAGCTCAGTGGTCCATTAGGTTAGGCGTTCGCGCGCGAGACTGAAGTCCTTTGGTTCGGATCCCGCGAGGAGCGGGATCGTGGATGCGCACTGCCTAGGAGTCCCACATTAGGACGAAATAGCCGTCCAGTGCTTCCAGGTTTTCAATGGTGGTCTAACATCAGTCGAATCATGATCTCAATCAAAACCTTGACAATATCCACAACCCCTAAACTGATAAGTATTTATTGTTTGGTTCTCAGATTTTATTAAGAGATCCCATAATTTCGATGTTCAAATACATTCGATTATCCCCCGTCTATATTCTCGTTCACTACACTACTAATAAACTAATATTATTCGTTCATGACTTAGTAACTATCATCCTAACAGTTAGTCATTTCTTACTGACAATCACCATCTATCGATCATATTTTATTTATTTATTTTAACACATAGATATTGGTAAAAGGAGGCACCAAATACTGCCCGGGTGCCCAAACCAAAGCAGGTGGTTTTCTTAGGGGACCACACCCCGAGCCTTCGACCTGAAGATCTGATCCACAAGGCAGTGGAGCATCGTGAGGAGATGCAGTCCCATGGTTCATATGCCATTTGTTCCTTCAGGATACTGGAGCCCATGTGCACCATTGGTTTGGGATCCGGTTATAACGCCGGACGTTTGCTTTTCGTCCTCTCATTTTCGTAGACAACACTCCCGCCACGAGAAGGCAGTGAGTAGGACTTCCCTGGCAGAGTCTATATACGCGTGGCCATGTGAGAGCATTTCGTGAGGGAGAGCGGACTCTCCCTACTCTTGACCATACCAGGGCATTTGGGGGCCGATCATATTTTGCAATATAACTATGAGATTAAACAACTCGAAATCTCATGTTCAGGTCTTTACGGAAGGATTATTACTGTAAATAATTTGGATAAAATGTACTAATAAATGTTAGGGAGTAATCATGTAACTAACTACATTTGATACGACATCCTTTGCAAACTTATCAAATGAATTATTATTACATTCTCGATTGCTTCATGATGTAATAGCGATTAAGTATTTAAAGTATTCAACATTCAATCAAAGAGTTAAGGGTTTCGAACTCTATCTTTACTTATTTCAATTTGAATAATCAGGTTTTATTACCAAGTTTTACATAAAAATAATAAACCTCAAAGTGGATTCGATCAGCTGGAACTTATTCATGAAATTGTATAGAAACTATCTGATTAGATTTTATAGATGGTTTTTTTCTGGTTACGTACGGATTGATATCCATTAGAAAACATGTAATACTAGGTAACGATTCATTTAAGTTCAATAGTTGAAATCATGAGTCAATTGAAGCTAGATCACCATGGAAAACCTGGAAGCCACTGGACGGCCGTTTCGTCCTAGTGCCGTCCAGTGCTTCCAGGTTTTCCATAGTGGTCTAGCTTCAATTGACTCATGATTTCAACTATTGAAGTTACCAATTCTCCACAAAACCCTTTCTAATATTCATTTAAGTGTCAGAATAACTTACAGTATAAGAAGAAAAACTCTACAAACACACACAAAGACAAAGAAAAGAAAATGCGCACTTACTTTCTTCATTCATTTGTGCTAGAAAACATTTATTTAATCGACATGCACGACAATGATTACGATGATAACGATCAATGGTACATTTACCTTTTAAATTACCACTTGCTTTACATATATATGAACGATTCTTGTGAATACTTCTTTTAAAAAATCCAGAACATCCTGAATAGTAAGAAATATATATAGAAATGATAAACTTATTGGGTAGTAATATAATTTGCTTATGAGAAAAGAAGTATAATGGAGATTTAGATTACAAAACTGTTTGGTCAAATGAATCAAGACCTATTTAGATGACGTTAATCTCGACCATTGTTGCTACCTTGACGTTATGGTCGGGCTTGCCTATCGTCATGAACCATTCGGGCTATACTGGCTGGAACAACCGTTCCTCAAGGTCCTACCATGTCAGACAGGTCGGTTGAAGAACGGTAAGACTAAAAGCAACAAATCCAAGGTCCGAAGGCGAAGTCATACTGCTGACTGTACAGAGGTGTGACGGCAGTAAGGTGTTTCCTTCAGACAACCAGCATAACAGCGATGCTGCCTTCCCACAAGGAGGAGTGGGTTTAGAAAAGGTCGATCCTAAAAATGCACACCTCTCCTGACCCCACGGATATCCGTCTCTGGTGGTAAGGTCTCAACAAGTACGGAGCTAACACAAAAACTACTCATAAAAAAGTCGTATGTGACCGACCTCAAGCAGATGTCCCTTGGACACTGTAGTCACGCTCTCAGGTTACTATGACCACCTCTAGTCCAATTTCCTTTACAGGTACCTCCAGAAGAACCCTTCCATGATGTGGGCAACCGGGAAGTGATAACCGTCTTCATACCTCTAACAGCACTCAAAAGATGATGTTAATAATTTCATTATGTTCTTGAACACATAAATATTGGTACAAAGGTGCACGGAATACATATGCACCATACAAGTCACTTGTTTTGTTTGTGGTCTGTGATACTATCCGGGTGGTTTTCTTAGGGGACCACTCCCTGTACGTTTGACCTAAACGTCTGATCCACAAGGCAGTGGAGCAACATTAAGAGTTTCAGTCCTCTTATGATGGTTGCATACGCGGACTCTCTCTACCCTCGGCCGTACCCGGGGATTTGGGGGAAATTTACAGTTTTACCCTAAAAACATTTGTTAGTATTATGTTCTATGTGATTTGTTGTTCAAATAGTGAACAATTCATTGTTATTTTAAGCAACATTATTATTAACTCACTTGTTTATATTACAGATTTTCTGGGAGAAGGTCAATTAATCACATGGTCAAAGAATAATAAGTCGCTAGAAAAAGCATTAGAAAGTGAACCTTTAAGATGGTATTTGGAGGTAGTCAACAGCAAACGCTGGACCAACGTCAGAGAGTACCAGTTCCCTCAAAATTACAAGTATGCCTTACTAAAGAGTGCGAAATAGCACGGAACCTGGGTTCAGGTTCTTCAGTTGACTACATTTAACAACCATCTTATATCAACATAGTGCACGTAATTTCAAGTCATCTAAACTGGTGACCTCATTGCAACTTGGTCGATAGCATTCGATCTACACTAAGAAGGACCTGACACACATGACATTAATCACCACCCAGTGATCAATCAATTGTGAAAGTGAATCCTTTTTATCAATGAACACGACACTAACAGAAAGATTCACTTGAACTGTGAAATCTTCATTGTGTTATATAGTAGATAAATTGGCAATCATTTATGCAATATATTACCCTCATTCTGTAGTGAACGAGAACACAAGTGGGAACGATCGTATGTATTTCAACACAAAATTACAGAATATCTTAGTGAATTCAAAGAACCATACAGTAGATACTTCATTTTCAAAATATCAATCAATAGTCTTATACTTCATGGTTCCTTCTTTTCCACAACAATCATTCTCCATTCTCGTTCCCTTTTCTTCGATCTTCTTAACCTTCTGTCACCAGCTATTTCACTTACGATTGATGATACATACTACTTATATCTATCGATATTAGTAGCACACATTACAATTCAATCTACGATTTGTTTTAATGAATAACAAACAAAATGGTTAAAAAAATTTGTAAGAAAAATAAACGAGTAGAAACAATCATACTGGTTTGTTTTTTTTTGACTCACCATCACAACTATATACTCCATAATGCTTTCCAGTAGAACGATCACCACAAACACCACATGGTATATTAAGTAAACGGTAATCTAAAAATTAAAAAAAAATATAACATTTGGAACAAACAGTTTGTAGATGATTTTGAAATCATTAACTGGATGTCTGTTTAGTTGTATCATAAGATTCCGCAGCGATGTATATCTATGACCGAGGATCTAATCCAGAGATCATATATCTCGTGGGGAACACTTTCACTTTAGATGACTGAGCCAGTACTTCATGGTTTGTGTATTTTTTAATGGTTATTTAATTTACGTTGGTTTTTAGTTTCTACACGACTCTGCAAGCCTCCTTTATGCTGAAGATTTGTGGATGGTTGCATTACTTACTTACTTACGCTTGTTACTCCCAATGGAGTATAGGCCACCGACTAACATTCTCCAACCCACTCTGTTCTCGGCCTTCCTTTCTAGTTCTATCCATTTTTTGTTTATTCTTGTGATGTCTGTCTCCATTTCTCAGAGTAATGTGTTCTTTGGTGTTCTTCTTTTTCTTTGGCCCTGTGGATTCCAAGTGAGGGATTGCCTTGTGACGCAGTTGGGTGGTTTCCTCAATGTGTGTCCTATCCACTTTCAAAGCTTCTTCTTGATTTCTTCCTCCATTGGAGTCTGGTTTGTTCTCTCCCACAGTAGGTTGTTGCTGATATTGTCTGACCGACGAATCTGAAGTATCTAGCGTAGACAACTGTTAATAAACACATGTATCTTCTGGATGATGGCTTTGGTAGATCTCCAAGTATCCACCCCATACAGTAGAATTGTCTTGACATTTGCATTGAAAATTGTAACTTTGGTGTTGGTTGACAGACAGTTGTTTTGAGTTCCAGGTGTTCTTCATCTGTAAATATGCTGCTCTTACTTAGCCAATTCGTGTTTTCACGTCTGTATCAGATCCACCATGTTCATCAATGACGGTGGCCAGAAAAAATAATTCAGGGATGGTTACATACTTGTGGTAAATTTTTTCATTGAAAGTGACATTAACTGTGAGATCAAAGAATGGAAAGAGATTGTGAGCAGTTAAACCATTCTAACTTCCAGGATTTTCATCAACCTACAATCACTTATTCAGGATTATGTGGTTAAACAGTCGGGTATACGATGTTTACTAGTTTAATTTGTAAATTTTCTGGGTCTATGAAATTATTAGAGAATGTTTCCACATAGATTAAAACAATTTTTCTAGATATCAGTATATGGTTGTGGAGATTGTTAAGTTTTTGACTGAGATCACTATCTAATTGTTGTTAGATCACCAGTGGAATCCTGGAAGCACTGAACGGCCGTTTCGTCCTATTGTGGGACTTCTCAACAGTATGCATCCACGATGCAGCTCGCGTGATTCGAACCCAGAGCCTTCAATCCAGTGCTTCCAGGTTTTTAGTGATGGTCCTACATCAATCAGTTCATGATCTCAATCAAGAAATTTTTCAAGATTTTTAAAGATCCACTCATGTCTATACAGTAATATCTAGCAGGCATGGCATAATAATTTTTGTAAAACTACCCTAAACATTCTTTACATTGAATACTATAAGAAATAATGGATAATTTCTCGAAAAGATCTTTCAAAGTCAGGAAGAATTCTAGGAGTATACTAACCATGTTGAGATCTTTGCAAATTTTCAGGATGAATTTGGAAGACTATCGAGTATGCTTTACTTGTCTTGATTAGTATATTGTCAATTTTATTATGTTCTTCCAAAGCTTACAGGATCTCAAACTGACATATATTCTTATAAACATCATTATATATTGCATATAACATAATCTTCTAAGTAAATCTTTCGCTAATCTTTCATGTGCTTTTCGTTCAGCATTTCAATGTCGACGAAGACTTTTAATGATGAAGATGTTGATCTCTATGAGTTCTAGTACAAGTTTTATATTAAGTACCCATTATAGTTTCTATAATCTTATTTCTTGTTTCAGTTTACAATCGAATAATGGTAACATCTCTAATTGTGAAGCTGAGAGGTACAAGATCGATTTCGTCAGAGAGCACCAGTTTCCTCAAGAATAATACAGGTAAACCTTGCTGACGAGTGCCAAGTAGCACGAAACCTAGGTCCAGACCTTCCTGTTCACTGCTTTCAACCACCATTTTATCTCAACATAGTCCACGCAATGTCAAGTCATCTAGACAAGGGATTACAACTTGGTCGACAGGATTCGATCTTCAGTAAGAAGGATCTGATATACAAGACATTGATCACCACCTAATGACCAATCAATTGTGAGTACATCTCAGTCCTACAGGAGGCCGATTGCAGCGCAAATAGCTCAGCGGTAACGTCTCTGACTATAAATCTGAGTGAGACGGGATCAAATGCGTCAGAAACCACCGGTTTCTTCAAGATTATAGCTACAACTTGCTGAAGAGTACCAATTAGCACGAAACCTGGGTTTAGGGTTTCCTGTTGACTACCTCCAACCACCATCATATCTCAGCATAGTGCACACAATATTGAATCATCTAGACTAGTGACCAAATTGTAACTTGGTCTATAGGAAGAAGGATCTGAAACACATGATATTGATCACTACTCAGTGATGAATCAATTACAATTCAATAGTATATTGTTAACTCAATAGACTTTTATCATAACCATCATTTATTCTGTAAACTTTATCACCATCATCATCATCATCATCATCAGTTAGCATGATAGAAACAAAAGAAAGAAAGATAATGTATCCATGTATCATTGTCAAATACATTAAGAAAATCTCATTTCTACATCATTCACTATTTTAACTAAACACATGTATCAATGTCCAATTGTTTTAAATGTATCCTTTCTATATTATATCTTTATTTAATTCAATAATGAAGTCATTTTTATTGACATAAAGAAGAAGAAGAAAAACATTCGAAAATGAATTGACCACCATCACCACCACCATCACCACCACCATCACCACCACCACCACCAACAACAACAACAAAAGGAGACTGTTTTGTTTTTCTTGTTTTTCTCATGGAAAGTTTTAAATGGGGTTTGATAAGTTTCATATGTTGTAGACTTTTACTTTTAAAAGTAAAAAGCTGTCTAGTCAAATAGATGAAGACAAATATATATATATATATATATATATATATATATATATATACACTTACACAGTTAGAGTGAAATTAAGGCGAACAGACAAAACCCTACTTGGAATGATATAATATAGGATAACAGTAGTAGTAATAGTAATAGTAGTATTAAATCGTTGTAATGTACACTTGAAAGTAAATGTTTTGTATTCTATACACATTTATATAGATAGGTGTCTTTTAATTGTTATTATCATTTTATCACTACCACCTCCATCACCACCACCATCACCACACCCCCCAAACACATACACACACACACCCACTTCGTTTTTCCCCCCCCCCCAATTTTGGAAACTATTTTATACTAGTCATTTTAATCCCCTACTAGTTATTCAACTCTTTTTTCTAATATTGAATCTGTTCTCAACTCACAATAACTATTACTTATAAGAGACATAGAATAAGTAAGACTGTTTTCTTCTCTTTTTTTCTTTTTCTTCTTTCTTTTTTCTTCTTTCTTTTTTCTTCTTTTTTTCTTTTTCTTCTTTTTATTCTTTATAGAACATAATGATAACATTAATAGACATGAAATTACTTAAAGACTGAAAGTGAATAAGTGAATTTCAATTTATGTATATTTAACTTTAATTCGTGTGAATATAAACCATATGGAATGAAATGAACAATTGAATAAAGTAAAATGATTCATAATTAAAACATGTTGTTTTCAATCTTAAATGAATATTCATGTTCAATTGTTGATAGAAAAAAGAAAAAAGAAGAAGAAGAAAAAGAAACAGAACATTAGTGTGTGTGTGTGTGCGTTTTGTGGTATGTACTACTGATATTGATAGATATAAGTAGTATATATCATCTAATGAAAGATTAAGAAGATTGAAGAGAAGAAAGTGGGAACAAAGAATGATTGGTGTGGAAATGAAGGAACAATGAAAATAGAGATAATTGATTGATATATTGCGAATGAATTTACAGATTCTAGGAGGGAAAACTTGATTCACACGTTCTCGTTGTGCCTCCTGGATAGTGGGACTCAGTTCTATGAAATAACGTGAACAGTAAGTCGAGGGATAGAGATCTGGCTAATCATCTACTCAATTGATACCCACAAAGTATCACAGCACAATTATTCTTGAATCGAAAAGTGACAAAAAATTGACAAAAGTGGTGTATGGAATGTACGGGGTTGCTCCTTACTTTGAAAACTCCAACCGATTGTAAAAAATCAGCTATTCTAGCCTCGGTAGTTGTGTCGTGTTTCGATGTGGCCTGTTTCTCTCCAGAAGGGTCTATTAGGATTCACCAACTTGTTTGCCTGGAAGGGGTATCACAGATTTTACTTAAGTTGGTGTTCTCCTTCACTATAGTTTTAGTGAAATATTGTAAAGTTATTTTACTTACATTCTACTGTTCAAGTAAGTAAGGTCTTTTATTAATCTGTGAAAAATATTATCTACAAAATCAAACTAATCTCCTAAAATACACCTTTGAAATAATTAACTTCAAGATAGTCTTGTAGTTCTAATGTGAAGAACTGATTGTGGTTGTGTTACTTATATCCTTATAAGTAGTATATAACGATGGTCAAGCATAGAAGATCGATAAGGAAAAAACGGCAACGGAACGGAACAATGAAATCTGAAACAATGAACTGAGATTTGCAAAACGGACAGTCAAGTTTGAGATGATGGATTGATATTTTACAAATTAACTATTTATTATATGGTTCTCAGATTTTATTGAGATGCTCTACAATTTCATGTTGAATACATTCGATTGTTTCCACTCGTGTTTTTGTTCACTACAGTGATTAGTGAAGTTCATACTTAATAGGATTGAAACAATTACCTTTAGTAGAGTTTAATGATTATTAAACTATCTGATAGATGAATTGAAATTAAAATTATATTAATGAACTTTGATCAAGTAGTTCTAGTGTTGGAGTGTCCTTCACGAGAAATGAATG